TCCCCATGAAGAACAGGGACCTCAAGGTCTTCATTAGTACCGCTACCACTACTACCACTACTACTACTACCAATACTACACTACTACTACCACTACTACTATTACTACCACTCCTACTATTACTACTACCACTACTACTACTACACGAGGGATACGTCCCCATGAAGAACAGGGACCTCAAGGTCTTCATTACTACCACTACCACTATTACACTCTTACTACTACTACCACTACTACTACCAATACTACACTACTACTACCACTATTACTATTACTACTATTACTACACTACTACCACTACTACTATTACTAATACTACTATTACTACACTACTACCACTACTACTACTACCACTACTACTACTACACTACTACTACCAATACTACACTACTACTACCACTACTACTATTACTACCACTATTACTATTACTACTACCACTATTACCACTACTACTACCACTATTACTATTACTACCACTACCACTATTACCACTACTACTACCACTATTACTACACTACTACTACTACCACTACTACCACGACTATACTACTACCACTATTACCACTATTACTACTACTATACTACTACTACTACTACACTACTACTACACTACTACTACTACACTACTACTACCACTATTACTATTACACTACTACTACTACCACTACTACCATGACGACTACTACCACTACTACTACTACACTACTACTACTACCACTACTACACCACTACTACACTACTACTACCACTACTACTACTACACTACTACTATTACTACACTACAACCACACTACTACTACTACACTACTACTACACTACTACTACTATACTACTACACTACTACTACCACTACTACACTACTACTATTACTACACTACTACTACCACTACTACTACACTACTACTACTATACTACTACACTACTACTACACTACTACTATTACTACACTACTACTACTACCACTACTACTACTACACTACTACTACTACCACTACTACTACCACTATTACCACTACTACTACCACTACTACTACTACCACTACTACACTACTACTACCACTATTACTACACTACTACTACACTACTACTACTACACTACTACTACCACTACTACTACCACGACTACTACTACCACTATTACTATTACACTACTACTACACTACTACTACTACTACCACTACTACTACCACTACTACCACGACGACTACTACTACACTACTACTACTACCACTACTACACCACTACTACTACTACACTACTACTACCACTACTACTACTACACTACTACTATTACTACACTACAACCACACTACTACACTACTACTATACTACTACACTACTACTACTATACTACTACACTACTACTACTACCACTACTACTACTACACTACTACTACACTACTACTATTACTACACTACTACTACCACTACTACTACACTACTACTACTATACTACTACACTACTACTACACTACTACTATTACTACACTACTACTACTACCACTACTACACTACTACTACCACTACTACTACACTACTACCACTACTACCACCACTACTACTAGACTACTACTACACTACTACTACTACACTACTACCACTACTACTACACTACTACTACCACACTACTACTACCACTATTACTACACTACTACTACTACCACTACTACTACTACACTACTACTACACTACTATTACTACACTACTACCACTACTACTACCACTACTACTACACTACTACCACTACTACCACCACTACTACTACACTACTACTACACTACTACACTAATACTGCTACTACACTACTACCACTACTACTACACTACTACACTACTTCTACTACACTACTACTACCACTACTACTACTACCACTACTACTACCACTACTACTACCACTACTACTACTTCTACACTACTACTACACTACCACTACTACACTACTACCACTACTACTACACTAATACACTACTACTACACTACTACTACTACACTAATACACTACTACTACACTACTACTACTACCACTACTACACTACTGCTACACTACTACTACACTACTACTATTACACTACTACTACACTACTACTACCACTATTACTACACTACTACTACACTACCACTACTACACCACTACTACACTACTACTACACTACTACTACACTACCACTACTACTACTACCACTACTACACTACTACTACACTACTACTACCACTACTACTACCACTACTACACTACTACTACACTACTACTACTACCACTACTACTACACTACTACCACTACTACTACCACTACTACTACACTACAACACTACTACTACACTACTACTACTACACTACTACTACACTACTACTACCACAACTACCACTACTACTACTACACTACTACTACACTACTACTACCACTACTACTACCACTACTACACTACTACTACACTACTACTACACTACTACTACTACTACACTACTACTACTACACTACTAACTACTACTACACTACTACTACTACACTACTACTACACTACTACTACCTACTACTACACTACTACTACACTACTACTACATTACTACTACTACACTACTACTACACTACAACACTACTACCACTACTACTACCACTACTACTACTACACTACTACTACACTACTACTACTACACTACTACCACTACTACTACACTACTACCACTACTACTACACTACTACTACACTACTACTACTACACTGCCACTACTACAACACTACTACACCACCACTACTACTACTACCACTACTACTACACTACAACTACACTACTACTACCACTACTACTACACTACTACTACACTACCACTACTACTACCACTACTACACTACCACTACTACACTACTACTATTACTACACTACTACTACACTACTACTACACTACTACTACCACTACTACACTACCACTACTACACTACTACTACTACACTACTACTACCACTACTACTACACTACTACTACACTACTACTACACTACTACTACTACTCTACTACTACCACTACTTCTACACTACACCACTACTACACTACTACTACACTACTACTACACCACTACTACTACTACACTACTACTACACTACTACTACACTACTACTACCACTACTACTACACTACTACTACTACACTACTACTACACTACTACTACACTACTATTACCACTACTACATTACTGCTACACTACTACACTACTACTACTACACTACTACTACTACTACACTACCACTACTACACTACTACTACACTACTATTACCACTACTACATTACTGCTACACTACTACACTACTACACCACTACTACTACACTACCACTACTACATTACTACTACACTACTACTACACTACCACTACTACACTTCTACCACACTACCACTACTACACTACTACCACACTACCACTACTACACTACTACCACACTACCACTACTACACTACTACTACACTACCACTACTACACTACTACCACACTACCACTACTACACTACTACCACACTACCACTACTACACTACTACCACACTACCACTACTACACTACTACCACACTACCACTACTACACTACTACCACACTACCACTACTACACTACTACCACACTACCACTACTACACTACCACTACTACCACTACTACTACCACTACTACTACTACACTACTACTACCACTACTACTACCACTACTACACTACTACTACATTACTACTACTACACTACTACTACACTACTACTACTACACTACTACTACTACACTACTAACTACTACTATACTACTACTACACTACTACTACACTACTACTACCTACTACTACACTACTACACTACTACTACTACACTACTACTACATTACTACTACTACACTACTACTACACTACTACTACACTACAACACTACTACTACTACACTACTACTACTACCACTACTACTACCACTACTACTACTACACTACTACTACACTACTACTACTACACTACTACCACTACTACTACACTACTACCACTACTACTACACTACTACTACACTACTACTACTACACTGCCACTACTACAACACTACTACACCACCACTACTACTACTACCACTACTACACTACAACTACACTACTACTGCCACTACTACTACACTACTACTACACTACCACTACTACTACCACTACTACACTACCACTACTACACTACTACTATTACTACACTACTTCTACACTACTACTACCACTACTACACTAC